TCTCACTATCCACTCTGCCTGTCAAAAAAAAAAAAATAAAAAATACAGCGAAAGAAAGAAAACACTGGAGCTATGATCTAAGCTCAGGTGGTCTGGTTTAAGCCCTAAACTTGTAAGCTGTGGTGCTCTTCCAAAAATTGGGAACACAAGCATCTTAAAATTAACATTGACCATAGTTAAGTGAATCTACATAATTTCGTTTTATAAGGGCCTTTCCAGATTTTTCAAGGTAAGGGAGAAAGAAAGATTAATCTTCTTGTATAGTTTTTATTTTTAAAAGTAAGATCTATGACTTCTTTCATAAGATGTGTCAAACACTTCAACGGATGTGTTTCAAAATGTGTGCAGAACAAAGTGATTTCAAATGTTATTTAGCAAAATTTTTGACTGTACCAAATTGTAGAATTTTAAGTAAGAAGTTAATATAAAGGATTGCAGTTAAGTGTGGCTTCCTAGGGTGCTTATTAAACATCATGAGAAGAAATTCCACTTTTCAAGTATAGGTGCTCTGTTGAGTAAAATTAATAGTAAAAATGTTTCAGATTTTAGTATGATCACAGACTAAGTTAATTGGGCAAATTAACTACCCAATTTTATGCATTGGCTATATACCTTTTATCTTTTGATTGGGTAAGAGAAGTGAAAACAGAAGACAAAATTTTTGCAAAATAAATACTATGATTAATAGGTAGTAAATTTTATTCTTGTTGTTTATTACAGACTTGCTCTGTGGGAAAAAAAAAAAACCTCTGTTATGAAGGGTGACCAATCATATAGGCCCATATCAGTCTTCTGGTTTACAGGAAATTATTTGTAATGATTTATTTTTAAATGGAAACTGTGCCAAAAATTAACAGGTGTAATTGTTCTGATAAAGTTTTAATAGTGAAGCTGCTTAGATAATTCTTTAGTCAAATAGTAAGCAGGTGTTTTGTGTGCTCTGAAACAAAATTAAGTTAATTTCAATAGTTAATTGAAAGTTTCATAAAACTATGAAACAGAGGAGACAAGTATTTGAATAAGACTACTACAATGAGCAAGGATTCTTTTCAGAAATTCTATATGACATAATGATATAAAAGATATTATGGAAATAAAATAATTTATAGTAATTTAGAAGCTAACATGTTCAATACAGATGCTTCTCATTTTGTGAAGAAATCTATTATGACCATATTTTCCAGCTGGCATGCTTATATAATGCTTTGATTTGTAGCAAAACTAAAAATTTGTATATAAAATCCAAAATATAAAATTAGGAATAATGGTAATAGTACTAATAATATTTACCAATAAGAAACAGCACAAGTTTGAAGTATTAAAAATAATTATTAGGTTACTATATCATCTCAATGCTAATATTCCTTGTTAAAAAATAATTCTTTTTATATTTATTTTTTACTTATTTGAAAGGCAGAATTGCAGAAAGAGGAGAGACAGAGAGTGAGAGTGAGAGAGATCTTTCATCTGCTTGTTCATTCCAAATGGCTGAAATAGCCGGGGCTGGGCCAGGCTGAAGCCAGGAGCCCAAAATTTCTTCTGGGTCTCCTACATAAGTGCAGGCACTCAAGTACTTGGGCCATCTTCCGCTGCTTTTTCAGGTGCATTAGCAGGGAGCTGGATTGGTGCTCCTATGGTATGCTAGGCCATATACTAGGCCACAATGCTGGCCCCGGAAAAGATAATCTTAAGAATTTTTGCAACATATCTGGAACCATCAATTATATCTAGTACTTTTTATTGAAGCCTTGGCTTCATTTCTTTAAAAAAATGTGTGTTTATTTCTGTTAACATTGTGTGTCTCAATTATTTAACTATGTCTACTGAACAACATTTATTAATCCTTGCTTCTGTTGGGTTGAAAAAGTCTCATTTCTTTCATGTGCCCTCCCTTGGTAAAGTATGTTAAGAAATTTTTAAATAATACAAAAATAATCAGAATCATCATTTGCTTCTGTCGCAATATCTTTCCACGAGTCCTAGAAAGAGAAGGACGTGCAATAGCAAACATCCATGGAAGAGCAGTGGGAAGTGGTGGCCAGTGGGGAGATAAAGACAAAACTGGTGAATGTGAATAGGCGTATAACTAGAGAATTAGACTAGGCCAATCAATAAGAATAAAGGGGCAGTATGACTTCATAGGAGCTATGAAGTAGGACCACAAATGAGGCAGTATATATGTAAATCCTTTGAACTCGGTAAAGCACCATTACTGCTACTCAATACATTTCTTCACGTCTTTCATATATATTGACAGCATAACTCACATATTCGTTCAACATATAAATTATTCACCATCAGAGCTCAAAAATTAAACTGTTGACGGGGCCAGGAAGAAAAAGTTCATGAGAGAAGGGCAGTTGAGTCAAACCTAGAATCCTTTTACTCCACTTCCCACTTTATAGAGATATGCTGAACACAACTTCACTTTCCTTTCACTCTAGCTTTACAATACAAAATAAAACACGATCACAAATTGGTGATTCATGGCACAAGATCCTTTACCTTGATTTTGAGGGGATAATGAGGAATGGTGGAGAATGTGGTTGAGTTAGAAAGTGTATGTTTTGTTTAAAAAGGAGAGCCTCTCCTGTTGACTTGTAGGACAAATATTGCCAGATCTTTCCATTTTTTTCAGAAGGTGGAAATTTATATTTATTTTATTTTTAAAAAAATTTACTTATTTGACAGATTTACAGAGAAAGAGGGAATGAGAGAGAGAGAGAGAGAGAGAGAGAGGGAGATCTTTCATCTGCTGGTTCACTCCCCCAGTGCCTGCCGCATTCAGGGCTGGGCCAGGCCAATGCCGAGAGCCAAGTTTCATCTGGGTCTCCCATGTGAATGCAGGGACCCAAGGACTTGGGATGTCCTCAGTTCTTTCCCAGGCACATGAGCAGGGAGTTGGATCAGAAGCAGAGCAGGCTTGACTCCAACTGGTGCTTCAAAATGGGATGTCGGTGTCACAAAGTGGCTTAGCCTGCTGGTCCCTGGACATTCATATTTTAAATGGAAGCTTCCTGAGTTTAGCAGTTGACAAACAACTGAAGACTGTGTGAACCTACAGATAGGGTGCAAACAAATCACATTTGTTTGCTAGCTTTTATACAGGCTAACAGTTTAAGACCTTTATTGTAAGCTGTGCTAAGCACTGGGCATATTAACTTTAGTGTCAAAGGAGCTTACAGTGAGCTAGGAGGTCTACTAAACATTTAAGAGAGTGAGGTACAGTAAGCACTATGATAATCTTTTTTTTTTTTAAGGTATTTATTGAAAGACAGAGCATCAGAAAGAGAGGGAAACAGAGGGGGTAGGGGAAACCACTGGTTCACTCCCCAGATGGCTGCAAAAGCCAGTTCTGGGCCAGGCCCATGCCAGGAGCCAGGAACCCCTTCCTGGTTTCCACATGCTTAGGCCATCTTCTGCTGCCTTCCTAGGTGCATTAGCAGGAAGCTGGACTAGAAGTGAAGCAGCCTGCACTTGCATTGGTGCTCTGATATGGGATGCAAGCAGCAGTCTGACCCACTGTGCCACAGTGCTGGCTCCCTAGGTTTATTTTGATGGGTGTTTAACACTGAAAATTTTCACATCATCAAAGAATAACAAAATGATACTCAGTAGGACTTTTCTGGATATCAAAATACTATATTCTATTTTGTAGAGATTGTTTAAGAAATAAGAATGCAAAATGGAAATGTAAGGAAAAAGA